CCTATATACCCCGGGGATGAAGCCAATCCTTGCCAAGACAGCTCACGCCCGGGGAACAAGAAGTCGATTTATTGACGAATTGTTTTGGTTACAGAAAAAATCAACTATCTCGTAAGCAGCTTAAGAGAATAACCATGTTAAAGAGTAATGAAACGTGTTTATGGTTTTAAATAAACTAAAGGTTGCATAATATGCCCTTTTCGTGCTGGAGATTCCTCATCGACCCGTTTCACGTAAACCCGACGCCTTCACGTCAGAACGCTTAAATTAGGCCCGTCACTGCCTCCTGATATAATCACATTTCTGTTATTTATGCTGTGCATATCTTCCAAACATTCAATTAATTTACGGAGTTTCTTTTGATAAACATGTTTTCCTTGACATGTCAAACTATGACAGCTATAGACGTAAGGACGGATTATATGGTATTTTCTAGATGACTCCTATATTAAGGTTGCATGACAACGCTACATTCTCCGATCTGTTAAAGACATAGAGCTTTGGAACGTATCTTTCCTTTTTAGATTGGTATGACAAAACTCATGTCTTCATCTGGTACACGTTATTCGTATCAAATATGGCAAATTTAAGGTCGACTGAATTGAAACAATAAGTGGTATATTTAACCCAATAAGTTGCAGGTTAGCTGTGGAGCAGTTATGATCGGTTCAGCACTACATATGACAAGTTATTGGAAGCCTTTGTTTTTTTTCACAAGTATAACTATTACAATTATCCATATGTGGTAAAGCGCTTTAGAGTAATTTTACAAATTATGTAGGGCGCTAAATAAATGTTGTATATTATATTTATTATTATTATCTTAGGGAACGGGTGTGATTAGTTCAGCCATACACATGACAGGTTATCTTAAGGAACAGATGTGATCGGTTCAGCCTTACAAATGACAAGTTATCTTAAGGAACGGGTGTGATCTGTCCAGCCTTACAAATGACAAGTTATCCGGTTGAATGCAGTCGATCGACCTGTAAACTTCAGGGTAATGCTAGGGTAGTTATCATGCAGACTTGTATTTTGCTGTGTATCATGAAGATACCCGAGTCTGAATAGGTTTCACACACTCTTTTTGTCCAATACCTCAATACGGTTGACATATTTAGTTTGAACAAGTCATTCTGATGTATCTGTTCTAAAATCAATTAAAAAGTTTTTTTCAATAGAGTCGTACATTTTCTTATTTAAGTCAGTTCTTAGACATAATATCCGTCATAAATCTGAAGTTAATGGGTGTGTAATAAATGAATTGACATCTATTAGGACTCGATGTAATGTTTAACTCCTAGTGAACTACAAAATTGACATCGAGCCTCCAAAAGGAGTGCACCTCAAACACAAATGGAGTCGTCTATACAACTGTATCAGTGTGTGCTGTATAACCGTTCCGATCCGACATTACTTGTCCATCAGCTGTTTGCTGTATATGTACAGCATTTTATGTCGATACTTCCTGGACATAGCTTTGCTTTTAGCTTTTTGTTGACCATTTTTTGTAACCAGACTGGAGACAAAATGTCCTGCAATAACCTATAAATACTGACAGATCTAGGGAAGAGAAAGAATTATTGATGAGGACAAGATGGTCTTACAAGTAGCATTGGAGTCGAGTCTCCATTTACGGCAACAATATTTCCCCACCAAGCGAGCGTCCATTAGTCTAAAGTAATGTAGTGTACTGTAACTGTTGCTGAGGCCACTCCAACAACAATAGACTTGTGCGAATTATGGTCGTGTCAAGTCTTGCTCTTGTTCAAGATAAAGCTGTTCGTAACTATGATCATGTCCACTCTATCTCTTGTTCCCGATGGACCTATAAATAATTACTGTCAGGTCCAGTCTTACCCTTGTCCACCATAGATATGCCGTGTTAAATCTTACGCTTGTCCATGAAGGGCCTATACGTAAATACGGCCTTATCCACTCTGTCACACGTCCACGAGGTACGTATGTATACGTGTGGCGTTTCAAGCCTTATTCTTGTGCACGAGGAATTGGTTTGGTTAACTTCCCATTAACAACTAAAGTTTCTTGAGGACGAGCCTCCATGTATGCATGCATGTATCTACGTTAGAGACAGGGTATGTTGTTGTTATTGCTACCCTGTGATAGCGCGGATCTGATGCCGACTTCATATTGCTATGTCACAGGAATATCGTGTCAAATGCACCAAGCTTATCAATCCGCCCTGTCACATTATACTGACTACAGGTGTAATAGTTGTTGCCATTTTCCTAATTACTGAACGTTAAGCAGAGAATAGCATTAACCTTTTTTGAAGACTTTGGCATGTCACGGCAAAGGGACTTGACCCATTGTCTTCCTCACCTGGGTGAACGATAAACATAAAATCTAAAAATGAGACATTGCAAAGCAGTGCACTAGGAAACAAAAGAAAGTTTGAAGGAAAGAGAAATGTAAACATCCCAAAACATTAGTGGCCTCCTTCAATCATGCAATGGGCTGCAGCAGATATATTCTTTTCTATATCCCCGACCTGCAGGGATTGTCCACGAGGAACCTATACCTAATTACGGGTGTGTCAGCTATATGCCTTGTCTGTTCAAGCCCATTGCATGACCTTGCCTTATATTACTGTCTACTTTCAAAGAGACTGGGACCCTTCACGTGTCAATCCGTTTTACGTCTGTTTCATGTCCACCCTTTCAGTTCTATGTCTTGTTCACGTTCTGTGCTCTCTGTCTCCTGTCTATGCGGGACCTATACGAAACCATGATCGTCTTTACTCATACTCACGATGGTTCTTGACGTAATATCGTCGTCAAATGGGCACTTATAATTATCTCTTGCCTAAAGGTAGCGATCATTAATATACCAATATGTTTCATGGCTGTGAACAGTGTCTTGCGTCTGTACCGTGTCCACTCCTGACCACTTCTGACCACTATATCTAAGAAAAGTAACACCTTACTCTCCCATATACACATATATATGCTATCGATCCTATCCGGTCTTGTTTTACTGATTTATTTTGAGATTTGACACAATCTGGTCAGATGACAAAGTAGATAAACGCGATCACACTGTAGATAATACGGAGATATAATCATGCCTAGACACTTTCCTCTTATATACGGGCATTTCATCGGGCGCCGCCCGACTTAGCCGTAAATAAGGGGCCGCCGCCCGACATAGCCCTCAAATAAAGCGGGAGAAAATCAAACCACACATGAGACAAAAAGGTTGTGTGACGCACTTGAATGATTACTGTAGGATTACACCTTACACGAGTATTTGTAGATATTTGTCATAGTGAGGATGTTTGACTGGGAAGCTGCACTAATTGGATGTTTGCCGGGGAAACTTCACCTCACATCTAGGGTAGCACAGTGACAAAGGGTGGAGGTGATGATAAATCTCGTGTGTACGCATTCTCGATGACAAGGCTTACTCTTCAAGGAGCAATTCTGACACGGTGTCTCCATGTTAATTCTATAAAACCTACATTTGTAGACTAGCATTGGTGGTATCGTACCGTGTTGTCACTACATGTAGGAGCGATGGATCATGCAGTGGCACTAAAGGACCATCATTATAGAGACGATGTGACCAATGATAATAAACCCGCATATCTACCTAATGTGACAATATGTTGGACAACAAAAACATTAGTGTGTGGAAAACATTCATATCGAGTTCTGACGATCAGCTGATTACCATAAACAGAACTGAAGATTGGAAATGCCAGTTACATTATCTAACTATTTTTTGTAACAATGAAGAAAGATATGTTTTCGCAGAATTATTCTTCAAAATATGTTACCCAGAAAATGACAGAACAAAAAAAGCTTGAGAACGACGATACTATATTATATGGAAATGCAATACATAGGCCAGCATCTATGCAAGTCCAATACTATGAATACTAGTGACAGAGAGTTATAGTGCATTACCACGGGGACATACCCAAGGCACGCCGCGCCGCTAGAAAGGAATTAATGCCTTTACGAATCAATGACAAACAGGACGGGATTATCGTGTGACGGCCCGTGCTATAATACATGTGTAACTGTGAATGATACAGAGCTCGGAGACGGACGAGGGTACAAATGTCGGGTCGGATTCATTAGCAGATGGACGGTACAGTGACGAGTTTCTGCTTCCCTGGTGACGTTCTGGTTGAGTGGTTTACACGTCCCACATTACTGGTTAGCGGTTAATTCCATGTCTACCTGTGCGCTATCCTCGGTGAAGTGCCACAGCCAAATCAAATCATTTTATTGGTTTTTCATCCACTCGTTACAGATGCTCTACTTCCATGTTTACCGCAATGAAACTGGTCCACTGGCGCCCGGACTTTTGGACAAGACCACGTGTTTTCATTTGGTATTACGTAATACTTGTTCCAAGTTAGCAAGGAATCAAAACCAAGGACTGAAAGACCGATATCCCTGCCGCTACATTAGGTAAACTGGAAAATATACACCTGAACTAAATCTGGTTTGATACTCTTGTGCTGTAGTCATTGGGGATAACCATCTATAAAACACGCTTTGGGATATACACTTGAACTATAATCACTCGGATTTTTATTACTGAAGTTGCGTTCAATGAGCGAGAATCATTCGGATTCGCTAGGCAAATCAGTTGGGATCTTAAGATAGAACACCTGATATTTCTTAACTTGAACATTTTGGATATCTTGCTGACCAAGAGTCGATTATGTATACTCCATAGCTTAAGTCATACAGAGACTGATACAGGAAGATTACAATGAACGTAGGAAAGACCGTCGTCCATGGGCGAAACTTTTCTGTGGACAAGTATGAGTAACGATCACTGTAAACCTGTACTCAGAATGTGTACCGATCGTTGTGGTATAATGATATACTTAGTATTGACAACAATGACCATCGATCTTACTATAGAGAAGGTGGCCACCACCTACAATAACAATTAGTATCTCGGCCACTTGTATTGACCACATGACGCTTGTCTATTACATAAATACGACTTAATGCACAAGGAGTACTATTTACATCTCGACAAACAGGCCATGCTTTGTTTGAACATTGACCAAACACGCAACGACTACAAGGTGTGACAAGGAGTGTTGTGACCAATGGGTAACAATACCGGACCCCATTGAGTTTGAAGTGAGTGGTGTCTTGTCCTTAAAAAACAGTCTTTAATTCAAGGATATGATTCATGGCGAGATCCTGCATTGATTTTCCAGGAAACTAGCAAACCTTTTGGGACAGTTGTGCTTCCCAGCCTGTATATGTCTATAATTGACTTAGCAAAAAAGGCGCTAGCCAGATAAGGGAGGCGCAAGCAACAGCTGATCACAGTGGCGAACCACTGCAGCTCGTGCACACCTACTCCCGCGCGCTCTCGGAAACTTATGGAAACTAGTTGGGATACTCTAAAAGTGTGGGCAACACGTGGTGTTTCTTGGGTGTAAAAGTATGTTCCCGAAGTGGTTGATACATATTAGAGATACCAAGTGGTTACATCATTGGCAAAAAATGGTATCTCAGTGAACACACAAGTTATAGAGATATGTTTCTGCGAAACCCGACAGGCGAGTAGGTGGTGTACCCCGAGGTTAGGCCCTACACGGGAGCTTATTTTTGACACCCACGTGGGAGCTTTTTGTGACGCTCCGTCCCTACACGATCGACTGTGGTGACGCCACGGCCCCACGAGGGAGCTTTGTGGTAACGCCCTGGTCTCATCTTTTCAGGGCTATATAACATGGGTAGGGCTGCAGGCTCTTCCAACTAGTTATGCAAATGGATACTTCTCCAACTGAGGTAAGTTAGTTAACACGAAATCTGGTAACCTTGTCACAAGTTAAGGTTCTGTACAGGTGTTAAAGTCAAACCATTGTTTTGGATATTTGCAGACGAAGATATCTTCTGATGTGACTTCATAAATCAACAACAGGGTATGCTGCACTTTGTAAATTAAGTTTTAAAGTCAATAAACATTACCAATAACTTTGATAATTTAATTTGCGTTTACTTTGCAATTTCTATTTCACGACGTTTTGTAAAAATTTCTATCAATATTTTAATTAGTCACTGTTGTTAAGCAATGATAAAAACATATTTTATTTACGTTCGTTATATAACTAAACAAATCAAATGTAGATTTGCATAACGAGTTCAGTCTAAATATCTCAAGGAGCTCCAATGACATGTTGGATAAGAATATAGAAGCAAATGAAAAGACTTTTGAATAAAATCGAAATATCTCTACTATAACAACATCTATAAAATTGCCCAATAAAATCAACAAATAATATTTTAAGTATAAAATGTGCCATATACTAATACAATTCAGTAATAATATTAGTGTAAACTTATTTGATATAGAAATACAATAGAAATATAACCAACTGAAAATATTCATTCATAAAAAAATGAAAATATTGAAATGGTTTCTGCTAAAACGCACTACCTGATTTTCATATTTCAAACAAGGTCATCGTGTTAATTACAAGATATACAGGTATCAGTAATCAAAATGTTTAACAGGTTTGATAAAATTACGTAGCTAAGCCACTTTTTTCTTTGTCTGGTTAATCAAACTTGCAATGCCAATTCGTCCTAGATTGGAATGGAAATATAGTTCCGATCACTATTTCATAAAACGAGATAGATATTTCCAAATTACAAATAGCACGCAACCATTCTGACTGCCATTGAACGTCTCAATGATTCCCTTAGCCCTCAGGCGCACGTCTTCTTTCCACAAATGATCACACGGAAGGTTTCACCAATGTTTTATTGTTTATCGAGAAAAAATCAGAACATTTTGAATCACGTCCCAATGGCTCTTTGCGCTGTCTATCGAACATACCATGAGCAATCCTATTTGTTTGAGTCGGGAGCGTTTAGACTTGTTTATATGTAATACCCGAATCCTATTAGCCTGCACTGAGTACGTGTCGTATAGACACTGATGTAATAGATGTGTGCATGCAGTGTTACTTGCCAGTTAACGCAAATCATGCAACTTTGGCCTTTCCATTGTCGCACCTGTTAGCTCCAGCCTGCATGCTATCGACAATCCCGAACGTAGTATATATCGTACCTCTGTACATTGTAAACGAATACTAATAACGCTACTTGTTGCTCCCACAACCATCCTGTAGCTTAAACGACAATCCGAGGATTCTCTCCTTCTTTTTTTACTAAATATAAATAAGACATTGAGAATGTTCTCGCCCTGATTGTCCAACATGAACATCGTTTGTTATTCCCTGGGTGTGAGGTGTAAGAGCGACATACATGCATTCTGCAATACAAGCCGTGTTTACAACCACAATCATTACTCATAAATGGCATTTTATCGATTTTAAAACAAAATGTCTACAACATCATGAAACTTTAAAGAAAGACTAGTATTACATCCTGGATGTATCTATGTCCGCCGGTTATCAGTTATTATTGTAGAGATAAATATAACAGACAAAGACTGGTTTCCATGATCCGTTACAACATCATTGCAAGACCGGAGACGAGCCTGTTTGTTAAATGTCCTTTACTGGTAAATAAGGACAACTAACTACCACCTCGTTTCAGTTTGTCAAACGTGATCAATCGACATCCGAGTATACTGCTCACTCTAGAACTTTTCTGGAACCTTGCTCAATCGTTGTTTACTCTAGAAACATGCCCATATGCCTTATCCACGACCAGGCAGTCCGCCTGTAAAAGTTGGATTTTCTGTGAACGCATCTTACTGTTTCTGATTGTATAATCAATTATTTATGAGATATTTTATAATCAAGTCTGATGTCCCGAGGCGTGACGTGTCTCCTTGAATCTCTGTCTTCGGATAACTATGTGTCATGTGTATTAAACTTGCTAATAGAGCGCTCTGCACACAGACCAAGGCGGGGGCTACCAAACTACTGTTACGCCATTTGCCGTGGCTACTTGTAGCTAGACACAACACTGAATTTCAAATCAGTGACTATAACAAAGTACTGCAATACTTATGTATGTGACTTTAACAGTACTACAATAGTAATGTACTACTTAACTAAACATGGATTTAGAATATGGTCTTTTGGTACATTATATGTGTCATGGAAGAAACATATCAGTAGTCCAAGTTAAGATGCTAGACAAAGTGGACGTACTAAAAGAATCAGCACTGGGTTTAACGAAGGACATTCCTGTCTAAAGTGTTCGAAAAGATAATTTGCAGAATTTCAAGACAGTCAGGACACAGGTGGTCATAATCAAGTAGCCATCACAACAGAGATTTGGTAATCAACAAATGTTAAGCTGAGTAAGATCAATGGTGACACAATGCATCATTCCGTGTTGTGGATGTATATACTTGTACCGGAAGTACATGTCGAGGGGTCATTGTGTTCCGCCATTTAACACTTACTAAACGGGTGTGATCGTTGCGGGAATGACGCCGTCGTACAGGTGACTACCTTTTACAATGGGTGATAGATCACTGTTATACACGGGTTGTCGGTATGATGTGGCGTGTCCACAGGCAGGTACACACAGCCGGTTGTTTGCAAATAGTTCCAAGCGATTTATCTCGGCTATTCTCACTAGCATGGAGGCTGAAACCGCGATAAAAGCAACATATCGTGTCACATTAGCTTCCGGAAAGTATCACAAAAAGATTATAGTTAAAAGTTCAGTCCTAATATAATCGTACACGAAGCATCGACATATTGGCATGATCGCCACTCTTTGACCGGAAGTCATGTAGATAAGAACACCCACGGCTGCTTTCTTCTCATTCAAATTGGATAATTGTACACTGATCAGATAGAATGCCGTATAATTTGGTTCAGTACGGCAATGATAACCACTGTATAATGTGATGTGATTGTCTATAGATCTGGTCAAACACACTGCGTGGTAAAAAAAATCGTAATTCATGCTGAAACTTCAGTAAAATATTAACAAAGAACATATTTGCATAGATACGTTTAAAAAGTTACGAGAATAGATCAGTGTGTCTCATTATCCATGAACAAAACGTACGGCAAGCCATATCAATCAAGAGCAAATCCAGGTTAGGCCACGCTCTCAAAGAGAGAATAGGGGTAATGACCTCGAAATGACAAAGAACACTTATGAGCATGATGAAAAGTGTCGATATTCATATCGCATTAGGAAACGTAATAGTTTCAAATGACATCATGTTGGCGACCATTAAACTTGCATGTAGTCTTCATCAACCCGCCATGCTGAAAATTTGTCGTAAGATGGTCCGTCAGAATTCGACATCTTTACAGAAATGGATACATCTTGAACAAGTCCGTGAATATTGAACAAACTGCGACATGTAAATACCGTTTGTGAGAAATCAGGAATGTTACTATCAAGAAAGGGAATCTTCACAATCGGAAAATTGAAACATTTACACTTATACAGCTCGAGTAAAAATTGAGTTCAATATCTGATTCAAAAACGTTTGTAGTGTCTTTGACTTTAAAACCAGAAAGGTATATAAGATCGACAGGTCAATAAACGTCTTGTTATTATTAGAAAATGCATCACCGATGACATCATAAGATCTGTGTACGTGTGTGTGTTGATAAGCTTTTCGATAAACTCAGCCTTGTATTTAAACAAAACAAGTCGACAAAGGCATTTTCTCTTATAGTTATGTCATCAATCTGCTGAAAAATCTTGCCATCGAACTGAACAAAGATATATAGTCAAGCAGAGAATTCAATCGTACTCACGATTTCATCTTCAGTATACCTAAGCTTTGCTTTCGTTATTTTCTTCAAACAATATGCCATAAAATAGATCATAGCCGTATAATAGTAACATCTGTCGCCTTTCATCGATATGAAAAGTCTCATTAGAAATAACATGGTCATTAAGTAAAGAACATGGTCATTAAGTAAAGAACATGGTCATTAAGTAAAGAGCATGATCATTAAGTAAAGAACATGGTCAATAAGTAAAGAACATGGTCATTAAGAAATAAGAGCAAACATGTGTTTAATTCGATTGATTAAATATGGTTATGCACATAATTCGTTGTTTTTTCAAAAGAAGAAACAGTTTTTTGGGAAAGAATTTTACAATGACACGTTGTTGATAAAGATTCTTGAAAAGTTTCGGAAATAAATACAAACGGAGTAACCTATATAAAACTTTTAATTGAGATGTGACGGTGTAGAAAGCTGTATATATGAAGGCCTTGAAAGTTGTATGTAACCGTCCCATGGTCTGACATAAAGTTTAAGGAGGGGTGAGGATCTAGTATGTTGTATATTTAGCCCTGAGGTGTGATTGTCAAGGACGTGGTACGGTATTGAAGTAGATTGCCGTGAAATATTTATAGTCCTTGGTATGACTGCACAAAAAAAGTACATGATATGCTGACCTAAAACAATTCTATATCATGGTACGCTGACCTAGAAAGCTCTATGTAATGGTACGCTGACCTAGAAAGCTCTATGTCATGGTACGCTGACCTAGAAAGCTCTATATCATGGTACGCTGACCTAGAAAGCTCTATGTAATGGTACGCTGACCTAGAAAGCTCTATATATGTAATGGTACGTTGACCTTGAAAGCTCTCTGTAATGGTACGCTGACCTTGAAAGCTCTATGTAATGGTATGCTGACCTTGAAAGCTCTATGTAATGGTACGCTGACCTAGAAAGCTCTCTGTAATGGTACGCTGACCTAGGAAGCTCTATGTAATGGTACGTTGACCTAGAAAGCTCTATGTCATGGTACGCTGACCTTGAAAGCTTTATGTAATGGTACGCTGACCTTGAAAGCTCTATGTTATGGTACACTGACCA